GAGCAATCAGAAAGGGAAGAGATGATCTTTACTCACCTGAAAGTTTAAATGCAAAAAATACTTGAGGAAAGAGAGAAAGGTCAATAGAAGAAAATGAAAAAGATAGGTAAAAAACCTAAACAGTAAAAAAAAAAGGAAGAAAAAGAATGGGAACAGAAAAGAAGGAAGGAAAGAAGGAAAGAAAGAAAAAGGAAGGAAAGAAGAAAAAAGTAGACTCAAGAAGGAGAGGAGAGAAAAGAAAAAAAAATGCAAAACCAAAAATAACCACAAAACACAAGACAAAACAATGTGGCATCCAACCAGACAGGAAAAGGACAGCCAGTCAGACACAAGGGAGACTAAAAGCAGTGAAATACCTCTGGTGATTTCAGTTCTGTGATAGCGTCCCTGTCTGATCCCAGAAATGTGCTGTGTACTCCAGCCACATTTGTCATGGGAATTGTGCTGGGTTGGAGCTGATCTCGGCCTCTGGACGTGGGGTCTGGGGTGGGTCTTCTGCTGGTGGAGTTCTCCGGAGCCCAGCTGCTTGGTCCTCGCTGCTTGAGACACTTCAGACACGTTGCTAGCCTTGCTGATTGCACTGCGCTCCGGGACCGGCTGTCCTCGGTGTTGTGGGTTCCGGTTGGTCCGCTTGCCGCCCCTTTCTTTTCTAGGCTCCGTGTTCTTTGTTACTGTCAGCAGCGCCTTCCAGAAACACTGTGTATCATCAGACCTCTGTCCTTGCCACTCTTCTGTCCTCCGGCTTGGAGTGCATTCTGATTCCTCTCCTGGCGTAGACACCGCAGTCCCCATTTTGAGCTTCCTGAAATCCTCACTCTCTGTGCTTTAAGCCTCAGATTGCAAAGCCAGTCCTCCCATCCAGCCTCCCCAGCTTGTGCATGTGACTTCTTAGTAGCATATTAATACCTCTCCTGACTCCATTGGACATTAAAGTCCCTCCAGTTGGCACGGTGCCTGGCCAACGGGGCATTTGGAACATTTGTGTTAAGTAGGATAAAACACAATTGCTAATCGTGGTGCCGTGGACCGAAGGAATCAGAGGCAGTGGCTGCTCTAGCCACATAGCAGACGGTGACGGACACCCAAACCGTCATCCCGAAGGCCTTAGCTCAGCCGGGATACAGGGCGCGCTTAGTGGTTTGGACTGGCAAGGGTGCCTGCTGGTTACCGCTGGCATTTCAGCGCCTCCCCTGGGCTTCTCTTCTAAGGAGCACACCATTCTTCCTGTCTTGATGCATCCAGCCTGCATGTACTGCTGCTGTGTCTTCAGACTGGCTGCAGCTTGAGAAGCAGGGCTTTCGGATGCCTTCGGTGCATTAGTTATGCTTGCCCGGCTTGTGATTGCCTCATCCCCCTTGCTACACTCAGTGTCAGCTTGTGTGTCTTGCCCTCGGCAGAGCAGTTGTGCTGTGATGAGCGCAGCTCTGGGCCCAGGTTCTAGGCTTTATCCCAAGACTCCGTGGTGGGCTTGCTATGTCCTCCATTTAACCTTCGCAGGCCTTGCTGTGATGCTGAGATGCTGAGCTGCAGGCTCAAGGAGGCTGAGGCACCGACTGAGCAGGTCTGGCCTTTACTGGGACCTGTGTGCGATGGTCGCTCGACAGACCTTGAGTCTGAGCTATGTGTGTGTGCACACTGCTGTGATCCCCGCTGTCAGAGCCTCCCTGGCTGGCCCTCAGATTCCTTGGAGACTAACCAGTTGGTGAGCAGTGTGTGGTCCCCAGCGCCACATTAATAAAAGCTTTCAGCTCTGGGCTGCCTGTGTGATCCACTGGCCAGGTCCTGCTTTTTCTTGGTGTTGGACCAGAATTCTTTTCAGTATGTGACTTGCTGTCAGTATGCATAAACATTCTTGGATTATTTTTTAGTAAGATTCTTAACTGTTACGTTAGACTGTCTAATAAGTGAAATTAAGATATCGTGGATGTCATTTTAGCATGTAAAGATGGTTTTAATAAGCCACACAGGAACACTTGTGTCACTGTTGTGAGCTCCACCCTCTTTGAAAGGGAAAGGAAGAAAGCAGTCGCACGAGCATTCTCCAGAAGGGCTCTTGTTTGTGTCCTTGCTTTAGAGACAACCATCACAGTCACACCAAAACCAGATCTAGGAGATAAGGGATGACAAAGTCCCAGTTAGATGGCAGAGGAGCCTGCCGGGAAGCCTTGGTCGTCTGCTCCGGGGATTTGTGCTTGGGACGGGCACTATGCCCTCACTGCTGTGAAGCCTGCTGGCTGTGGGAAGATGTGTGCGCGTCTGTTTCTCAGGAAATTATTTTCTACTGTTGTTGATTGATTCTCCAGTGCACTGGGGATCATGGGTTCTGTGTGATTGGGGTGCTGCTGATTTCTCTGCCCCAAATGATAACCTTCCCTTGGAGCCGTATCTCATCCAGCTCTTTTGGGGCCTCCTCTTGGAAGCATTTGAAAAACTCATCCCTTTTTTCTTTACAGCTTTCCTTTGATTTTAATGATGGGAAATGCATGTATATCTTACATAGCAAGCTAATACAAAGACTTACAAAGAGTGGTCTGTCTCACACCCTACTTCCAGTTCAGGCCCTGCTGAAGTAACACATCTTTAAAATAATTTCAGACTTTAAAAATACACAGAATGACTGTTCTTTCTCAAACTCACTAATTTTGAACATTTTGGAACATGTCGTTCTTCCTCTTTCTCTTTCTGTGTAAAAACACAAGCATTTGGGAGTGGGCTGCATATTCTGTATCTCACTACACATTAACGATTCAGTCCTGTGAAACAGAGAGCATCACTGCGTTTTTTTTTAGTCTTCTTTAGTTTGGAATAGCAGCGAATCTTTGCTGTCTTTCTATAATTCACATATTTTAATATAATTTAGACTTTATGTTAAATTATATATAATATAAGGTATTTATATTTATGATTGCAACACATAAATGTATAGTGTGCAATTATATAAATATATATTATGTGAATATATAATATATAATTTATAACATATATAGTCAGCATATATGCAAATTTATATATATATTTAGTACTATGGTGTATTAAATTCTGTAAATAATTATGTAAATTCTATAAATTACTATGTAAATAAAATAATATAGATATAATATGTAAGTATGTGATACATAATATGTAAATATATAAAATGTGTAAAATTTAGTACCCACCATACTAATGAATGAATGTTGTGAACTGAGGTACCACAGTATAATACTTCTGTAGCATTTAATATATACAATATTGTGATTATAAGCTGTAATGTAATTAGGAGTGATGTAATATAAACCAGAATAAATTAAGGTGGAATAAAATGTTATATTATAAAATATTAATGTAAGATTATATTTTATAGCTTTTAAATGTGTGATATGTTTATATTTTATAGACTGTTGAGTTTATCTGACCTTTCCCATGATTATATTTAGGCTATATAATCCTTAGCTAGAATAATGCGTAAATAGTAACTTTAATTTTCTCAGAGATGATGACTTTAATTTTGATTCCTCAAGGAATGTATAATGCACTGCAACACATTTTCTCCAGTGTACTTTAAAAATTTTCCTAGAGAATAAATAGTTGATAAGGAAATATTCTAAAGCCTTGCAAATATCTTCTACCTCAAAAAAAATTTTTATGCGTTAGGTTTAGCATTGGTTTTCAAGTGCTGGGGCTCTAACCCAGGACCTTGCACTGCTGGGCAAGTGCTCTCCCACTAAGCTACACTGAGCTCCATTTTTGATGTCCCTTGCTCTGCCTTTACTCTTTTGGAGGCAAAATGGTTTCTAACTCCCGCAGTCCTTGCGCACTGTTTTGCTGCCTTTTTAATGAGGGAAGAACTGGCCTTCTTTCTCATCCCTCGTTTGCCGTTGTATACTTGCATAGATGTCCTTCATTCACCCTCCGCGTGTGATCCATGTGGATGTATGGGTTTCTGTCTTTCCAGTGGTTTATAATACATTATGACTCTCATTTATTTCAGTATTAAAGTCACCTTAGCTGTGCTCAGTGAAAGCGCACTGTTGTTGGCTGCTGTGACCTTTTGACTGTCGTTTTTTTTCAGTACTTTCTGATTTTTTTGACATGGGAAGATGATCTTAGCTCCTCTGGCCTCTTCCCAAGCTCAGGCCTGTACTTAGCCTCTTTCCTAAGGAGCTGGGTGTTTCTTTAGGGGAGAATGGCTGTGGCCGGTGCCAGATGGCTCTTTACCACAGGGGTATGCTGCTTTTAAGCCCTTGCGGTGGCAGTTATGTACGTACACACTCATGTACACTTGTGTAGTAATCATGAGCTCGCACTCATTCTGTTTCTTGTTAAAAGTATAATTGCTCACCTACTGTTTTTCTTCTGTTCTGTAAATATTCTCTGTTCCATTATCAGTGTGATGCTACTGTCTGACACCCAGTGTTTGTTGAAAAGATTTTGTGTGCGTGTGTGGTGCTAGGGCTTGAACCTGAGGCCCTGTGTGCTGTAGGCAAGGGTTCTGTCACTGAGTTGCAGCCCCAGCTCTTAAAGGCTTTTGTGAGAAGTCAATAAATGAATAAACTTTGATGGTGTGAGTTGTCTTTCTACAGAGTAGAAGGTAAAGCATGAAAATTTGTCCTTCCTGTTTTTTTTCTTTGCCTTATTATTACATATACAGAGTCTGCCAAAAAAAAATGTACATACCTTTCAGGAAAATAAAAACTTGTATAAATATTTTAATACTAAATTATTATGACATCATGAAATTAGTATGTTACCTTTGGCCTGTACAGTTATAAGTGGTGCTCAGAGTGGTGGCCATTCGCTTCCAGACATTCGTTACTATAGCAAACTCCTGAAGTGTGCACACATTTGCTTCTGGACTCTATATGTATTAATCAGCTGTGGTTCATCCTAAAGGAGAATTTGAAGAACAGCGCATTTTCTATTTTATTACACCTTTCATTCATCTAAAATCAGAAACGTTTCTGCAAGATATTCTGAGAATAGCTTTCTGAGTTTAAATTTGTTGCTGTGTTAACTCGTAGGTGGCTGGGATTGTGGGCAGAGCTGACGTGTTGGCGTGCCTCCTGTTCCTGCTGGCCTTTCTCTCCTACACTAGGTATGTATGGCTGAGTGACAGCGCTGGGGACAGGAGGGGGACGCCTGGCGTGTGCGTGCTTGGTGAGCTGCAGGGACGGGAGCCCTTTTCTTACTCTGTGCGGGGCTCTTGTCTTTTCCATTCCCCCTTGGAACTGTACTGTATCATAGAAAAAAGTACTTGCCCAGTGCTAGGAACCTGTGCTCTTGCTTCCTGATTCCTTTTACTTAGAGTTTCTGGTTGAGAATGGAATTTGGAATTTTAGCTCTGAGCCAAAATGTACTGGCTGTAGCACTCTAGTCCGTTTGTCTGAGATCTGTTTTATTTCTCCTTACCTTTTTGGTCCTAACTTTTCTCCTCCTTTATTATCCTCACTGAACCAACCCAGAATTTAAAACAACAAGGCTAAAAAGAAAGTTGTGTTTCTGAGCTACTCCTTTCATCAAAATACAGATGCTTTTTGCCCTGGGAAAATCAAAAGCAATAAAACAATTTTCCGTTATACTGTGCCTTTACTCCCAAGCAGTCAGACCCTCACCTGTGTTATGTGGTATCCACGTAGGAAAAGGGGAGAGTTGGGAACGGAGAGTGACAGGGACAGAGGGATCCGGGCACAGAGTGTGGTCCGCATTCTGCCACATCACTGCTTCCTGGGGCAGTGCCTATGTAAGGTTCTGTGAACCTTGATCTGCAGATTGGTTCACTGAGGTTGATCTTATAGGCCTGTTTCAGAATCACTGTTCTATACCCATGGTTCTTCATCAGGAACATCTCCCTCCTTTCCCTGGTCCCTGTTCTCACCCTTTCCCTCCTGGAACTTTTGCTGACATCTGCAGATGTTTTGGTTAGCACAGCTGAAGGGGTGCTACTTACTGGGTTAATATATTGCTTAGTTATTGCGGGCTGGTCAGATCCTCAATCTCTCAAATGAGTGTATGCAAAAGCTAAATAAAAAGAGGAGAATGGGATGATTTCAGGGCTCCAGGAGGATCAAAACCCTTTCACAGAATTTGAGATTCTTTCAGGGCTAAAACCAAGACCTCCTCTGGGTGGCCCATATTTATTTGGTTATCAGAAGGAGGGAGGGGAGTACTCAAGAAGGGCAGAGTTACTCAAGTACTTCTCCAAGTAAGGTATTAAATTAATCCTTAATAAGGATTAAATTAATCCACCTAAGAGTGAGATGCCTGAGGCTATAGTCTTGATCCAGTTGAGATGGATCCAGGTGTCCTTGGCTGTGATCTTGTCTTATCCTTTGAGGCTTTCCGGCTTCATCCACCATTACAGGTTTGAGTAGAGATGAGTGACTCACAGAGGTTCATTTACTATGAGTCTGTTGCCCACTTCTAGACAAGTGGCCTAGGGTTTGGACAGGTTCACTAGTAAACATAAAAGCCATTTGGTTAATTTAAGTCCTGCTTGGGGATGCTTCATAGTGGTCTCCATTACTACTGGCATCTGGTGGGTCAAGGCCAAGGGTGCTGCTAAATAAGCATCCTAGGATCCAAGGATGGGCCCTGAACAGAGTCCACTGCAGGAAAGCTCCAGCAGCACTGAGATGTGAAACCCTGGTAGAAAACAGCGTAGGTCCTGGATAAACAAGGGAATGAATTAAGGCTCATGAAGATTTGGTACAAAGGGTGGAGCCTTTTCTTAGGATATTATTAGTCCTAGGTCCTGGCTTTGTGACCTCCCACTAAATCTGTAGTGACATGAACAGTGTCATGAAATCTTAAAATTTAGGCCCAAATTTAACACTTACTTCTTTACTCTGGTGTTGCACCAGAATTAATTGCTTTAATTTAAACTTTTTCTCTGGGCCTTCGTCTGTGTGCTGTTGTGTGGGAACCTGATTAGCTGGGCAGCGTATCCACAGCTGTGTGGCAGTGAGCTATGTTAGCACAGGTTGGTGGTATGCGTCCTGCTCCCCTTCACACGTTTATGGCGTAGACCAACTCCACAGACAAAAGCGTAAAAGGTGTGCGTAATTCATGAGATTGTTTGAAGGCTCAGCCGTAGGAAGACGTCGCACGCTCAGAAGTACTGGCCTTTACGTGAGGAATGGGAGCCAGCGGGCGAGGCGCCTGCTGAAGGGACAGGGATGTTTTGAGGGCCAGTTCTCTTTCATCCAGTGGAAAGGTTCGGTAGCACTGTGAAGTTTTTGAAAAGTCCTGTTGCAAGTTAAGCTGAGAAGAAATAAACTCTGCCTAATACATGCTCATGGAAGTAAGTTTTAAGATATGTGAGTGTGTTTTTTTTTTTGTGTGTTTTTTCTCCGGTACCGGGAACTGAACTCACGACCTTGCGCTTGCCAGGCAGGCGCTTTTGCCACTGAGCTAAATCCCCAGCCCAAGTTTTAAGATATGGATTGGACAAAAGAAAAGAAAAAGATGAAAATATCAGAGAGGAATGTGTCATATTTTGGCATATATATCCACCGACGTTTTTGTTTTGTATAGACACTTCAGTCTAATGATGACAGTGAGACTTGACATGAATAAACTAAGACGTTATTCAGTGCTCTCTTTGGTACGACACTCCCGTTTCACACTCAGGGGACACGAAGCCCAGGGAGCAGAGTAACTGCTTTGTCTGGCCCTGTTTGACCTGCAGAGTGGATTTGGACCTGGTGACTATCCGGAGCCGTGATTGTTGTTAGTAACTTGTATTGTTTCTTACAAAGTGTTCTCTTAAGCATCTTTCCGTCTCCCTAAGTATACCTCTGTGGTAGAATTTCATACGGCTTTTTAGCATTCATTTATTACATTCCCTATTTTTTCATAATTTGTAAATACCATAATGTAAGTACCAAGTTTAGTATTGTTAGACATTTACTTTTTTCTGTCTTAGCAATTTTAAGTGATTCTGTGGTGAATGTTTTTGAAGAAATCCTTGCTAACCTACTTACGTGCTTAGGGTACAATGAAACTGGTGCTAGATCTTATCTTTACATGTCTTCTGTTACCCACACTTCTGAGACTGCAAGACTGGCCCCCTGTCTTCCAGGAGTCTGGACCAGCATGGCGCTGGGGGCCGCCTCCCTCCTGCGGCTTCGCCCTTCTTCCTGCTGCTCAGTTTGCTCCTGGGGACCTGCGCGATGCTGGTGAAGGAGACGGGCGTCACAGTGTTCGGAGTGTGCTTGGTTTACGACTTCTTTTCCCTCTCCCACAATCAGGACAAGTCGTAAGTCACTTTAAAGATTTGATAGCAAGTGTCACTTGGAAGAGAATTACTTAAACCCTGATGGTTTCCCAAAATTGGATAATACTTTGTAAAATGCAATGTTATCTTATACTGTAATGTAATAAACAATGTTTATTCCATTAAGATAAACACATGCTATCTTCCTAAACTTTTCACACTTCTACAAAATTCATTAAGAGCTATGGAGTTTTGGGGAGCCCCAAGGTAGGCATTGAAAAAATACGCGTGTTGACAGCAAGTTTATACTGCCATTTGTTTTGGTCACACACCGTTAAGAGAATCTTCATTCACACAGAATGGTTGTGAATAGTAATGGTCTTTAGCCGCTTGCTTTGAATCTCTGAATATAATGAGTTGATCCCCCAGAGCGCACCACTAACTTGGAGTTTGTGCTTGCTCCAGGGATGGGGGTCACCTAAGTTTTAGGAAGAACCTCTTGGAATTTCGAGGCTAAACCGAACAGGAGCATTTACATGGCATTTTCAAGGACATGCTTAGTTAGTAGACTATTTTCATTTACAAAATTTAAGTCGCATTCATTTTATTTTGTGCCTTGTAGACAGTAGGAACAACTAAGGCACATTAAAAATTCAAGCACATACTGTAATTTTCTTCCCCTATCAAATGCACAATTACCTACAGTTTTACATGCAGACTTCATTTTTCAGTAATTATAAGCCCCTTATTTTTGAACTTTCGAAAACATGATTTATTTTCCTGCCTTGTCAAATGAAGGATTTTTTTTTTTTTT